CATTTTGTCCAATGCCAAGTCTGTAGGAGTAGCATCATTACTCCATCAGAAAGCCAGAAAGCAAGTGCTTAAGCTGCTAGAAAAGCCATCAAATCTGACAAAATAGTCCCTTATGTTTTAGCTACAAATGTCAGTCAAGCAATTAAAGATCAAATGGTATTTAGCTTTAGAAGTGCAACAGATGTCACTTGAGATAATATAGATCACCTATTTTAAAAAACAAAGGGCCACAGGAGATAACAATTACTTACACATGGATAATTTCAGTCTGTTCCACCACATCCTTAAAAGCTCTGTTGACCTATGTGGCTAACTTAAACTAAGACACAACATCAGCATCTAAACCCTCCCAACCATCACAAGCCTAGAAGTACATACACAGAGAAAAAAAAAAAAATACATGCATGTAGACATGTAAATGACAGTTTGAGTGGTGTATGAAGGAGCTGCCGACAGCGTGTTGTCTGTTAAACAAATTGGGTATCGTAATTAAAGGGGGGCAATGAGCTGTTTTCCATTTTCCCTGCATGCTCAGTGACAGCCTCGCACACAAGGCTTATGAAAGACAGAGGGAGGAATGGAAGTGTGTGTACAGATGTGTGTGTGAGCAAGGGAGGAAAAGAGAGAAGGAGGGAGGAAAAGCCAGAGAAAAGGAAATAAAAAGCTTTAAAAGAGAAAAGAAAAGCTGAGGCAGTGAAAGACAGATGAAACAGAGCTGGAAAATAAAGCCAAAACACAATGAGAGATGTTAATGGATATGAACAGGAGGCAGACAAGGTGTGTGTGAGGGAGAGAGCAAAGGAAATAGACGGAGAAGAGACAAAGAAATACAAACGTGCATGAAAAAAGAACAAAGAGATGTAATGAAATAAAAGCAAAAGAAGAGTTCTTATATCAAAAGAGAAGCTCTGAAGTGGTGTGAGCCGACCTGCACTGCTGGGCAGGATCTGTGTGTGTCTGCAATGCTCGCTTGTGCAGTTGTGTGTGTGTGTGTGTGTGTGTGTGTGTGTGTAGGAAGTTCCTCAGACGTAGGATGGAGGCATTTGTCTCTGAGTGGAATTACAAGTGGCGGGCCGAACAAACCCTCCAGTGGTCTAGAAGAAACAGAGGAGGAAAGAAAAAACGATTCCTCTCTCTTTGCTGGACCATGCCTCAAACACACACTGTGCGAGTGTGTGTGAGAGAGAGGGGAATCAGAACGCAAACCATTAAAAGTAGATTCAAGACTTGTACTTAAGCAAACAATGCCTCACACTTAAAGCCACTAAACAAGGCTTCTTCTGCCCCTTCACCCTCATAAATTTTTATGACTCCGAGTGTATGCATGTACAAGAGAAAAAGTAAGACGTAGAGGAAAAGGCAGAACCAGCATGCAAGACAAAATTAAAAGAGTGTGTGGATACAAAGGTGTTTACAATAAATGCCTGTGTATTGGTGAACTGTGTTTTCTGTGCGAGTGAGATCTCGGTCCTCCTGAAAGGGGACATCTGTGCCAGGCTTCCAGCCTACGACTAGCCAGTCTAAGTCACACTAAGAGTTGGCACTGAATGACAAACATAGCGTCAGAGAGGGAGAGGGACCAAGAAGCTTCGGGATGATTACAGAGGCCACAAAAGCTGCTATTTTGCCCCCACATCTTGGATGTTTTCCTTCCCATGCTGTGCAGTTGTGGTTCACAAACGTGAAGAACAGACGCTTCTCTGTAAGAAGGGCAGTCAAACAAAATGTCAAGCAAATGGCCTTGTGACCTCACTACATTGCTTCTGACTGCCTAGGAAGAGAAAAGTGGAAGACCCAAAGAGAACAGCATCTTTGTTCAACCCGTGCACTGATTCAGATGGCGAGTACCATGAGATGTAGTGTACTGTTGTTTCAGGCCTTGAAAAAGCGTTCCATCACCCCCACGTGTCACATAGTCATCTGTAAGGCTTCCCTTCCAGCCCGCGGAGACTGTCCGGCTATGACAGAGGAAGCAAACAACAACCCACAACTCAATGCCATCCTCACTGAAATGCAATTATTATTCTTTTGTGCAAACAGCAATATTTTATTCCCACTCTTTCTGGCGCTGCCTCTTTCATCAGAAGATACTGACAAATGCACACATCTCCATCAGCTCATGAGAAACGATCACAGAGTATTTGACTAACATCCAGCCAAAGCCTGGCAGATATCAGGTTATGATAGCGGTGTTGACTAATTTAGAGCACGATTTAATTCTTTCACTCCCCTCATCTCTCATGCTGTCAAATAAAGGGCTCGTGGTCTAGACTGATTCCATCAAAAAAAAAAAAGCTTAATTAGCCTGTAATAAATTTTCATTTCCACCAGTCTCCTCCAAAGCCCCGGCCAGCTCAGCAGCTCTGTGCCAGCTGATGGACGCCCAGTAATTTGATACTGGCATTCAGAGGCTTCTGTGCCCCCTTCTCCCCCCGGCCATTTCACAGGAGAGCATGTCTTTAAATGTCACCCAAACACACATGCACACGTGTGAATGCAGCATTTGTCATACACACTCCAAAGCTGGGACAATTAAAATGTTTGCCAAGCAGACAGACGATGGTGAAATTATTGGTACAAGATCCATTTAAAGGTGCAAAAGGTGGGAAATGTTGGTGAGAAGTGCCTTTTTAGCCTAAATCAAAAACAGAGAAAAGGTTCTGATTCTCACATACTACATACTAAAAGATGAACATGAGCAAACTATAGAAAGGATACTGGATTCACCTAAAGGTTACTAAAACCCTGCATCACTATAAAGAAGGACTGAGCTTTCAAGTTCATTCAAGACCTCAGCAGCAGTAGTTTGACAAAGAATCTGAACTCAAGGTCTACTTACTAAACTTTTACAGAGCTTTCAAACAAATATCAGAGTCTTTCTCAGTGCACTCGCTGTTTAACCTTCCATGTGTTCGGACTTCATGCCAAAACTTCCCAAGTCCACAATAGATAAGAAGTTTTTAGTGATCTTAGTTTAAACTGTATCTACCAGTGAACACTTGACCCCATTGGTAGGGCTGATCCTGAACTCTGAATTAGTTCTCTTTGGGGGGTTTTGGTTTATTTTAAATTATAATGAAGATTAATGTCAGTCTGCAAAAGGCCATGCTTCTACACAAATACAGTGAGATCCCTTCACACTGCCAGCAGTCAGGCAGGGTAGAGGAAAACATCAATCAAGTCCCTTGCAGTGTGAACACCTCCATGCTCACACAATTTAGTGTATAGCATACAGCTGACAGGCTGGGATGCTGCAAAGAGACAGATTCAATCACAATGTTAAACACCAGTGAAACCCTGACTTACTTCAATCTGATATAGCTCTGAGTATGACTGATATATGACTCTGGGTATGAAGTTTTAAAACCACAATAAGGACATTAAGTGAAAGAGAGACAAAAGAGCGGACAGACAGCAAACAAATAATATCACCTCATACACCCACTAACACCCACTCACAATGAACCTCCCGAGAGGCATAGCTCAGATTCTTGGGCAGAATTTGCATCACAAATATCTTGGATGGGAGTGTATGCATAAAAAATAAATAAGCCAGTGAGGCTGCCACTTTTCTTCCCCATTCATCCTGCCTGTCATCCATCCATCCATGCATCCATCCAGTCCTATTTAATAGGATCCATTCAGCGATTTTATTCCAAGATCCACACACAGCAGAGCCAGCAGGGGAGCGTGTGTGTTCGTCCAGTTTTGCCTGAGAACCACAAACCACCAGAGAAAAGCATCCTAGAATCCCATTTGTGCCTCTAAGAGGTTGGATAATGGCCAAATTCACCTCTGAATATCAATACACAACAAACTCTCCTGCATTCCCAGTTCTGGAGTCTGTTTCCACTAGTGTTTTTCCAGTTTGGCATGTCTTGCCAAAGCTTTATTATGTTAATTAAGAAAGCATATTCTGGCATCATGAACTGTATATCAGCCCAAAGTGAAACAGAAAATATTACTGGGCAAATAAGTTGAGTGCATGTCTGATATTATTCCAGAGCAGATATTACACCTAATTCCAAACCAAACAGAATAACGGAACACATTAAAGTCCATATTGATCACTATGTCTGAGAACAATGACTGATTGAAAAAGTTCCACGGCACAATTTCTCAACTTCCAAGCGTGTAATTTTTGCTCCAATAAATAAATAAAGGCAACAGGACATCACGCAGCAAGTGGTAAGATCCCAAAGGTAACAGTTTACAGGAGCAAAACCACCAGCAAATATCCTACGGGGATGTCAAAGCGCACATTAGCATTAACACACGCATAAAATATATTTAACTTCATTATAAGTTGAGTTCTCAGCGCCATTGACGCATTACAAGCATTTACTGCAGTAACCATAAAGTGATTTTGTCCAGATGCAGACACCACAGGGGACCTAATGATGTGTTCCCACTGCCTCTATAGCACTCAGTATATCTGCTACAGCTAAATTATTCAAAGACCGTAAAGAATAAAAACGGGGCCACTGGTGCAGCCCAAGCTCAATTCATATACATTAGCGCAAGTAGCCGCGGTCCTCGGTCGATCAATGTCCGTTTAAGGGAATTTTAGGATCGTTTAAATTAAGCCAGATTGTTCTTATCGAAAGACTGATCAAACATACACAAGCAAATGTGAAAAAAGTCATTTGTTTTCTCCAATAAGTTTAAAAATCCAATTAAGAGGGGTTAAAAGCGTATAAAATGTGAGCAGTTTGGAAAGCTTTCTAAGCAGACCCACAATTTACTACAGGTATGAGTACGTCTCGGTACGGTGACTGAAATCAGCATCGACGTGGCTGGATATGAAGTTGTATCAACTTTGTACCAGTGATATAGAACTAACAATAAAAAGTGTTCAACTGCGGTACCCAGTCATCATAATTCAGCAAACAACTACAGTACATTTTACAATTCATCATAAAATGTTATGTCAAGGTTTGTGACAGCGGTGTTTTGGGCTCCGACTTGAATTTGACCCAAACGCGCATCCAAGCACTCACCTGACTGTGCTGCACTGGATCGGATCATCACCAAAGTGAAGAGGACGCAAGCCAGGAACTTCATTTTTGAAAAGGCTGTTTGTCTTGTTAACTCCCGTAACTCACATGTCCAATTAAGATATCCTCGTTGCTAACACACACGCACACACATGTATACAAACAACCCAAAAAAGAAAAAAAAAGCACGTCGAAGTCTTCGTAGCTTCTTGGACAACTGTCAGTTTCCGTGTGCAGCCAGAACCAGCGCCGTGGAGAGCTTTTACGCACCGCGCTTTGTCGTGTTTGTTTATCGGATCCCAGGCCAGTGTTTAGGTCGCTGTGCGCCGCGGACACTGCGAGCCATTTACTCCTCACAACACTGGAATACCGCTGGTGCTTTGGGGGGAGGAGGGTTGCGTGAGTGTATGTTTGGATGGTGCGGTGGGGGGGTTCTGAGCACGCCTCCTTGGTGCGACTGACACCCCCATCAGCCTATTAAAATTTTGGGAGGTTTTTTTTTTTTTTTTTTTTTTTTTTTTTTGGATTTCCGCCCACTTCACTTATCACCTCTGCTGATTGGCTATTATGCATGATGGCTGCTGTCAAGACACCTGTCAAGAGCAGATTTTATTTTGGTTTCTCACTGGGTCTTGTGGAGTCCCAGATTGCTACCCACGGGCTTTCTGTGAGGTAGAAACAACACAGAAATGGGTTTATAAATATCATCATCATCATTTAAAGCCATATTTATCATTAGGTCCCACACTGGTTAATATGTTCATAACTTCAAGATAACATGGAATATAGAAAATGTTAAGATAGAAAATAAAATGGATGACACCATGAATTATAGTGATTTCCTAGATACATTAGTTATTCCAGATTATTTTACAGCTACTAAAAAAATATCATCTGCTCTCTGGTATGTCTGTTAGAGAGTAGACTTACAGTAACATCTGAAAAGTTTCCTGTGGTATCAGCAGTGTGACCGTCTGCAAATATCCACCACAAGAAAGGTACAGTCTATAAACTTTGATGACGCTAGCCTAAAGGGGCTGCAGTGAAGAGATTGGCTCCAACGATATACCATTTTCAGGGCCGCTCATTTTACAAGCCTGTGTATCTGCTCTCTGGCTTCGTTTGTGGACTGGTGTGAAAGTATGAAATGGGCTGGCAACTCAGTAAGGACAAGAATATATTGATTTGTGACCCATGCAAGGTGAAAACTCGGACATTACTGGCTCTATCATAGAACGATCCCATAGCTGAGGCACCAAGGATGCAAAAGGGCCAAAATGATACTTCTGTGCAGAGTGGGTTAATTGTGTGTCCTCTGCTGCCCCCTAGGGGAATTTACGGAGAACTGCTTGTCTTTGAGTCTTGAAGCTGGTATGACTCGTAAAGCAGTTGAGAAGTGAGATGACAGTTTGTTGCACTTTTTCGTTTACTCAAAGGTCCAAAAAGTTTTTTGTTAATGCTGTGGAGCATCTCCACCTTTTCCAATAATGTTTGTACAGTCCATGAATAATGAATTTAACAGTTTCAAAATCATTATGCATGTATTAAAATATGCTTTTGATAAGCTATAGCCTCCTGAGAGATCTCTGTCCTCTATGGGGGACATGACACTGTGGCCTTTATTTTAAACACCATGCTTGCAGTCTGTTGTGTCCTAATGTCCTAGAAAAAGGACACCCTGGGCTTTTTCTAGTGATGTAACATGTTTCTTACATCCCTAAGAAGTAATTTATATTAAAATAATCAAAATATCAAAACATTTTCTTCTGGGTCTCAGGAGGATAGAGTATGACTCAAATCTATGAACTCAAGGGAAATAAAGTCTACTCACTCTCAGTCTGCAAAAATATTACAGGAGATACATGAAAACACTTGTTTGAGTTATGGGATTACTTTCACGAACACACACACACACACAGCCACACTGGGTGGCAGCACAGTGCAAAGCGGCCTTGGGAATACTAATAAACCTCTCTTTGTTCTGCTACAAACTCTTCAGATAAAACATTCAGTGAGTGACATCACTGAGCTGCATGAGATTTGCACTGGTATGAGTGTGATATAAATATGGGAATTCTGTCTTTGTGCTATGAATTGGGCCCCAGTGTGAGTCCAACATGAGCTTTGACGGAGGGTTACAGGACAACGGCTCAAAGTTAAGAGGGCATTCCAAATAATAATGACAAATAATAAAGAAAGGGAAAAACATACTGTAAGTATTTGATTAAAACATGAGTCTAATATATTATCTTACAATAGGACTGAGGTAATAAAGATGAAAGATTAAAGGAAACAGTGGACAGGGAATGTGAGAGGGAGCATTATCCATATTACAGGTAATAAATTGTGATAATTGTGTATAAAGCACAAGTCTGTACAAAATAGGAAGTTTGTGTACATTGAGGTGCCTGTTCTAGATGCTGAGGCATTAAAAAGCACTCCTACCAGGACTCAGTGTTTAATCCATAGTGAACTTATAGTTTCTTTCACTTTTAATTTCTTAGATCATTTCTCTGGGCTATAATATTCCTACACAGGGAACATGTGGTGTGACTTTAAGGGGACTTTTTACAACTCCTTTATCTACAGTATTACCGTATGCTTTGATATTTGTATAACATGCCTGTAAATTAAAGCCATATATCATAAGATAACTTTTTTTTCTTCTAACAATTCCCTGGGTTAATTTTGACCGGCACTAATTTTGGTGTGTGACATTGTTTTGCCCCCTGTGAGTGGCTCCACGCTGCCAGCAACAGAATCACATGGCAGGCACAGCTTCTATGATTGGGGCTGTGGTGAGGGGAAGGAGGCTTCTTCTGCAGAAGTTCAAGGGGCTTTTGCAATCAGTTGGTGCCTTCCTGTTGAGTACACATTGGGAGTTGCGGTTAATTTGTTGTGTGTTGTTTCTGAATTAGTGGCTTTGGCTGGAATACTGGAGGAAGAATGAGATATGTGCAGTTAATCTCCAGAAAGTGAACAGCGTGTGCAGATCGTTTTGGATCAGCATGGCTCTGGAGAGCACGTCTTTTCTAAAAGCAGGGCTTGTGTTGTTGATAGCAGGTGAGTGGTTGTGGTAGTGAATAGTAAAGTTCTTCTTAGTGGTTTAATTTTAAACTTCCTATCTATTTAATAGGTCAATGATAGTTGGATATTGCATATGATTAATTTATAAAACATTTGTAAATATAGTAAGTGGTGAATCATCATTTTTTTGTGTGTGTTTCAAACATATACAAGAGATGTGAATTCAGCGCAATTCATTTAGGATTTACAGTAGCTAGACAAAGATGTGCACTGACAAGTGACAGTGTTGGAGAAAGTAATCAGACCCCCTTAATTAAATGTAACAGAACCACAAACCACACTGTAAAAAATACTAATGTACAAGTAAAATGTCTGCAACAACATTTACTTGAGTAAACGTGCATAAGAATTAAAATCAAAATGTACTTAGAGTACAAAAGGAAAACAGCACAATATGGATAAATCCACCCTGTGTGCATTGCATTATTTGAATATTATTTCTTATGCAAAAATATGTTAGATCAAGGGCATGACTGGTTGTGTTGCATGCAGTACACATTCTTCCATGACTCAAAATCATCAGATGTATCAGTCAGTTGTTCAGGCATTTTACAACCGCAGCTTGTCCTGATTCTCTAGATTCAACATATCTTAGTGTGACTCTAATTGAGGACATGAGGGCAGGTAAAGGGATATTAGATATGAGAGAACACTTGCAGAACTCTACTGTCTCTCTGAGAATCCACCCTTCATGGGCTTTACTTTCAATGAAAGGGAGAATGTGAAAAGCAGGCTGCCATGCCAAGTGTCACAGCAGCTGGCTAGACATGAGTGACATTTGAGCTACGAGGACCTTCTCATATTGATGAGCATCAGTTGTTAAAATCCATAAATACTGAGTCCTAGAATGGCAGGCAGAATTCATTACTTCAAGCCATTTAGTCAGTAGAGTGTAAACCTCCAGCTATAGCACTGCTGTCGAATCTGTCACGGTTTGCCTTGGCTTTCCTGGAAAATGGAATGTGAAATGTGGAATGTGCACTGCTGGTCACCAGACAAATCGGGATGGCAACTTCACACACTTGAATGTCAAATTTTCCCACTAGCTGCTGCCAACAACAGACAAACAGGTGAAACACATGTGTTTGAAGCTGTCTTACCTGAATTAAGCATGTGAAAAGTGCCTCATCCCTCTCTTTGACAAGGCAAACTTCACAGCCAGCAGGATGACACTACGATCACCACAATCTTTTTATTTTTTATTTTTACAGTTTTACTTTAGTAGCATCTTTTTTCAAATCCTCATATAAATACATTCAGTTTTCCTTTGAGTGTTTCCGAGCCTCCAAGAGCCAGCTGAGACAGAGCAAACAAAATGGGCACACAGTCGGCCCTTATCAGGCTGGCACAGATCAGCCTCCACCATGTTTCCCAATGGAAACAACAGCAACCTGTTAGTTTCCACACGGCCTTTTTTTCCACCAGCTTAAGCTACCTCTCCTACTGTATTGCTCAGTGGTGTTACATTGCCCTCAAAGCCCTGCGGGACAGCTCCGGTCTCCTTCCGCTGCAAAAGGCTGTTTATACACATCAGTGAATTAAACAAATGGGATTGGGATGCCGGCTGCAAATTACAATACTTTCTTAGAGAAAGTAACAGCCTAATAGTGAAAAAATGGTCCAGTAGGAATTGCCAGAACACGACCTTGTTTGCTGCACAAACATATTCCTAATTATCTAGAATTCAAAAGAGCAGATAACCTCTGTAGTGCTTTAGAAAAGTCTTTCGTATTTTTACAGTAATGCAAGTTTTGTTTGTCACTCAGTGGAATAAAATGATCACTGAGATCCAGTCAACTCATATCACTCAAATCCATTTTTAAAGTCATATTTGTATGTTAATTCATGCATTTTTTCTCTTTCTCTTTTACTCTCTAGGTCAAGTGCTTCCTTCAGTGCCTGGCTGCAATAAAGGTTTCTACAAGAGGACGATCAATGATCTCTGCTTAGCCAAGTTCAAATTTGACATGGAAGGACTAGACCGAGGCTTGTGGTGTACCTGGCCGGACACAATAGAGTGAGTTTACCTTCTGAGACATGCTGAAATACAGAGCATATCCATAAAAATATGTTACAGAGGCTTCTCCACAGGCCCTGTTGGCAGAGACTGTATGTGTTGCAGAGATACTGTGTGTTCATGTTCTGTTATGTGAGGTGGGACCAGGCCAGCTGGGCCCAGGCACCATAATGGGGGATGCTGGTGGGACGAATGGGTTTCAGCCAACATGTAAATAGTTGTGCGTGTGTGTTAAAAAAGAGCAGCTATCCAGGGTCATGCAATGTACTGGGCATAGAAGCTTGCATGAAAGGCAATAGGGGTGACTGGCTCCATCTTCAACCCAGCTAACTCTAAACTGGTGTCAGAAGTGAGAGCTCCAGAGATAACAGCATTGCTCCAGGAGATCAGTGAACTTATTGCTTGGCTGGAAGAAGAAGCCAGCAAGGCCCACTAGGCAGGATGGAGAAACTGCACCGGAGCTCCAACACCACAGCTTCAACCAGACCACAGCATGGAGCCAGGAGCAGAACAGCGAGGGGCCACAATACTGCCACAATACAGTGGGGAAGAGCCACAAGAGACATACCTCATCCAAGAGTCCTACACAACAACCTTAGAGAACATTGCAACACAGGTATGGCCAACTCATCTATGCCAAATAGACCCGACACAGCCTGTCACAGCTGAGGGTCAGCTGTCTGGGCCAGACACACAGCTTGCACCTGGAGTGTGAACTGGACAGTGTCAGATGCTGCACTGCTGCGCCTTAGTGGATATGAGGTCCACCATCTCCCTGGTGCGTCCAGGGACACTGCCAGGGATGGAAGGGCCAAGACCCCAGAAGTGGAGGGCCTACCAAGTGCTGCATCACCACAGTCACTGGTGAGGGTATGCTGAGAGGGAGGACACTCAAAATGACTGTTGTTGGATGCACCACTGAACACCGTTTTGGGCTGGCCAACATTCAAGATCCATGCATCATTGGCCTTGATCTGCTGGAAAAGTAGGGGGTTGTGGTGGATGTGCCTGGGGCTACGATCTGTTTGGGTACACTGACAGACGTGTGGCCTCGCCAAATTCCAAGATGCTCACAGCCCAGGAGAAAAACTTTGTCCTTGGTGTGCTGCTGTGGGTGTACAGCCCTGGATGAAGGAATGGCTTGTCCCCAGTCAGCGAGCGGTGGAGCAGATCCTGTACTGTACTGAAAAGACAGTCAGATACAGTGAAACTGAGTAAGTGGATTCGGGTGATGCTCCACAGGTACAGACTCGCAACATACAGGCCCTTGGCCTCATCTGAGGGGGGGAACATTGGACAATGGGAGCCAGCCACGAGTTCCAGAGCCCTCTCCACCGGCTGCCCAGGAGCTACCAGAGTGGCCTCAGTGCTAGTGCAGGCTCCCCCAGTGCTTAAAGGACTTTGGTATGACTGTGGTTACTGAGGACATTTAACTAGCCAGGTGAGGGGCTGTGTAGCGTTGGGGGGCAGAGAGAGACACTTGGCAGGATTAGGGGTTGGCAGGGACTATTCAATGTTCTGTGTTCATTCTGTCTGTGATGCAGTTGCCCTGTGCTGTGTGTGGAAATAAAAGAGAAAAAGGCAGCTTCTGTGTCTGGCTCCTTCCTCAACTTAGCCCAAGTTATAATATAGAAGCAAAAACAAGGTAAAAATTAATTATAAACAATTCCAACAAACTGCATCCAAAGTTGACACTTATATGCACAAACAGCAGCTTCCATAATGATCACCGTTGAATCAACACCTCTCTGAAACTGTCTGCACACAATCTGAACATTATCAACACCACTCATCTTTCACATTAACAGGTTTTCAGTTTAGCAAATAACCATGAACCAGAAACATTGTGAAGAAGACGTTTCAAAAATTGCAGTAAACATGTAACCCTGAACAAATAGGCCATGTACTGTTGCATTAGGTTACAAATAAGGAGCCTCAAGTGCCAACACACCTGAGCGCTGGGTGAGTTTTCAGGTTGGACATAGTCTAACCAGTGTCCTTTTCCAGCATTCTTTACAGGAGGCAGTATTTTCTTTTAAGTCCAAGGTTGATAAATCCTCAAGTCTACAACATTTCGACCCCATCATGGAGACAAGTTGACACAACTCGTTGTGTGTGGGCGGCACGCGCTTGTGGTAGGCGAATGCTGCAATACATTAAGTGATTACAGAGAGGATCATAAAAATCAAAACCTTCCTCCTGTAGATATGCTGAAGAACTGTTAATATTAACGAGTTATTGTTCACTAGTCAGAATCAAATCTGGAGTCAATTATGTACAAGTTGCCACAATTAAACACACTGGCCATCGAAAACAGAATCTCTGGTATGGTGCAGTGCTGTACTGACGGTGCTACCCTGTTGGTATGCATCTCCATTTCTCCTGCCCTCTACCACCGACCAGTTATATTTAGCTGTGTTAAGCCCAGTGGTAACTCTAGACATGGCCTTAAAAAAATCCAACAGGAATCCCTTACTCTGGTCCCACTCTGAAAGGACACTTCAAAGACACAGTGAGAAAACTGAATTTCTACAGTTCTGATACCCAAAATCAGGACACACAAAGTAATTACGATACATTACTCACAGAAATATACTGTAGGTTCTTTCATGTTTGTTTTAGCAGCTGAGATTTGATTATGTTTGAGTGACATCCATGCCCTTTCTTCTCTTTCCACCTTTGAGTTGGATCCAGTGTCTCTTTTGTGATTGTGTTTTGTCACCTCCCAGGATATACGGGGGACTAACAAACTGCACCTACCAGGTTGCCTTAAGGATGGACTGCTTCTGGCCTAATCACATAGTTGACCACTTCTTCATGCAGATTCACCAGACCTACTTCCGTGACTGCACTCTGACCGGCCGGCTCCTCCACGACCCTCCAATCACCATCCTTGCTCCGTTCATCACAGTGCCAGTGCTTGTCACCCTGCTCATGACTGCCCTAGTAGTGTGGAGGAGTAAACGCACAGAGGGCTTATTATAGGGACAGTCTGGGTGCTGGAGTTGGCCTCAAGGATTGGGAATATAAATGAACTCTGAATTTTAAGTGTGAAGTCATGAGCATTTATACTTACTGTAGTGAAACAGCCTTATTTCCCTATTCAAATGTGAGTGTATGTAAGGCGCAGTGAAGCAGCTGCATGTCTCATAAAAAATGTTTGACAGCAATACAACACAGTAATACATAATAAATGGTGTATTGGGCATAAAAATAAAATTTATATGTGCAGTCTTTTTTAGTGGATCAGCACCACTATGAGACTGTTGAAGTTTGGCAGGGGAAAGCAATACAGTTCTTTGAGATTCAGGGAATTTAGAGGCCATGCATGTTAATTACCATCTGTTCTAGTGGCCCTACAAAATCTGTGAACACATAAATAGCAGCAGAGAGCAGGACACTCAGGGAGAAACCAGTGACTTGGATAAATGATAGTTATAAATGTGGAGGAGAGGTGACAAAAGAGAGGAAAGGCTAGAGCTAGAAACTGAGAAACAAGGCCAGAGTCCTTCATCATGTAAAAGAGTTAAATCACTTTGTACTGAAACACAAATACAATGCTGCTTTTATTCTCATCTCAGTTGCAGTCTCTAAAATACCTGAGAGAAAGCTACATATATTTTGGAAGAAATCAAATTGATAGGATGCGACTTTACAAGTGTTTTGTAAATTACTAGTTATGGCAATACTGTTCAAATACACCCAATCTGCTTGCATAAATCAAAATGTGAGATAAACCAAATGCCTTGTTTATGACACAAGTATAGTTTACTTCCAGATAGAGACTTTGAAAACAAGCTAATTTCTCTCCTTCTCTGACCATGAAATGGTTCATATAGGAAATATAAGCTTTTAAGACTGCAAAGCTCAACATGACCTTCAGCTGGACATTCATCCATCACTGTATAACCTGGCTCCATCTAGTGTTCTCTTTGAAAAGCTCTGCATGCTGCAACATTCACAAGCAAATTGTTCCTTTAACAGCAGCTTAATTGGTGCAATAATATTTACATAAGAAAATTCTAATATCTATCCAAGTTTCAGCCCATTTCTGATGACGCATAAGACACCTACAGCAGTGGTTTCCAACCTAGGGACACATCCATTGAAAAAAGAACATACATATTTTTAAACGTTTGCTTGTAATTCACAGGATCATTTCATTTTGGGCCTTGAAAAACAATAGCCCTTTGACTGTGCTGGTCACCACCAGTAGATGTATAACTGCAGTCAAAGGGTCACTATAGTAGTAAAATTTGGTTTTTAAGGGGTTACAAGCCAAAAAGGTCGGAAAACACTGGTGTACAGGATTCAATCAGTTAGAATGATCAAAGTTTGCATGGCAGCCAGTAGAAACAGAATACTCCACAACAATATATAACTTCTGTTTCAGGAGAAGATGCTTTAATGGCAGACAGCAAACAATGATGTAAGACAGGACAGGATAAGGAAAGACAGTGAAATAATGGTCAGACTAATGGCTAAATAAAGATTGAAATTTGTTGAAATTATTTCCAAAGCATTTGGGAGACAAAGCAGTGAATGATTCTCCATCCTTCCTTTCAACTGCATAAAACAACACACAGGTCAACCTGTATCCAGAGCAGAACTGTATGTAAATCTTCCCAGACTGTGATAATAATTAAATACAATGTCAAGCCTTTTTTCCATGTAAAAGTTATGGCTCAGCACTTCCCCTCCATATATTTTGCTTGCTGGGCTATTCTGTTCTGTCACTAGCAGGGGAATTAATGGTGGCTATATTGTCAAAGCAGTAAAAGCTTTCAACAGTTAAGCTTCGTCAAGCAATGTTTGGCTTTTCTGATTAATGCCCAAGGCTGTGACAAAGACAACTTTCAGCAGTTTTTGATAATGATATATGAATTTGGAGGAAGATTAGGATATCAACATTCAGTACCAGTCCATTGGAGGTGAGAGTTCAGGGCCAGAAGTTAATAATTAGACATGTGGATGAGTTGAAGGTTAATACTGCACTTGCTCCTGATGTCATTAGAGACGTTCCACCTCAGCAGGGTCCTTTACTTGCAGTTTTTGGAGGAAAGGCCTCCACCATGCTGCCGCAACAGCTCAGCGGCAAAGTCCTTTTTACCCACAGATACTTGAACTGGAGTAGAAAAGGATGCCACTGTGTATTTGAAAATATAGAATTGCTTTCATATGGTAAAATGCTCATTGCAACCCTTTCAGTTTTATAAAAACATTTTGGCCAAAATAAATAAATAAAACTCTGTTTTTTTTTTACCAAGTTCGATCCCTCACACCATCTCTCCACCTCATCTCACCTGTATGAGACGTTTGGAGGGTTGGTATTGCTCAGCACCAGCTCCAGATGGGCCAGGCTAATGTCTGGGAAGCCTGACATAGCAGTAAGTAAAGGCAAGAATTATGAAACATAAAATAATCAGTTGTTAATGAACAAAACAGATGCTGTAAGTATTTAAACAAGTTAGATTCTGCAGCTTGCTGTGGCTTTTCTGCTTTTTTGGCTAAAGTGTGGGAGAACAGCTGATTGAGATAAGCATGCCAAGATCTGAATGGTACACAATAATAACCTGTGTGTGACTTCATAACTTCATAACACCATATATAAAGCTATGACTTTCATAAAGAATCTCTTAAGGAAAAAAAAAACAAAAAACAAGAGTACAGACAAATGCACAAAGTCCTGTGGCTATGAACATCCATTCAAATTATAGAAACGTGCTGTGTGATCATATTTTACACATTTAGAGTTTTAGAACTTGCACTTGCTTGCAAAATGCAACAGATGGCAGTAGACACACATATGATGCCTGTAGCAGGGAGTAAACTGAAAGTAGGGATGTTTGTAACGTTTTTATGGTAGTTGCTTTTCTCATCAGCTAGGTGATGTTACTCAATAACTTCCTTACTTTGTTTAACATAACATAGCTTCTTGCCATTGGATAAAACACTGTGTAAGAAATGTTTGATTAAAAATACAAATTGTATCCTGCACACTCATGTTCATTTGAATGTGGTTGAACAGATATAGTCTTGTAATTCAAACAGTTAGTTTTTTTGACAAAGCAATTAAATCCATTTAGTTTTAGCTTTAGTTCCAAATATATTTGAAAATTATTTATGGTGGAAAAACAGTCCTGAGCCAAGCAACCAGTCTCAGCCATGTGTATTCTGTCCAGTCAACAAGGATTGATCCTTCCCATTCACCTGATCAATATCTATTGTCAGATATGGTTTGCAATAGGACTTGTGTTAACAGAAGGGGAAGAGGGATGGGGGAACCCACAGGAGCCCCAACCCTTAACCCCACCATGTTGCTCCATACAGGCCTGCCTTGTGTCATGCAATCAATCAGCTTTGATCAAACCTGTCAGCTGTACTCAAGTCACACCACTGTATGTGTGTATGTGTGTGTAGGTCAAGCATGACAAACATGCTTTAGAGGACAATACTGTCATTCACATACATGTGTCTACCCAGACACAACCAATTTATCACAGAGCCTTTATCACCGAATCTTATTGCAGTGTCTTCACACATTTCTGCACACAAACAGAAACCATTAAAAACATAAAGCCAATGGACTCAGACAAGCAGCCTCCTGTACTGTTTTAATATCTGCAGGAATCCCCAACATAGTAAAAAAAAAAAAGAGCTATGGGAGTGCTTCCATCTACTGTGACGAGTAGTGCTGCTAATGCTGCATGGGGAATTCTGCTGAAAGGCAATCAGACAGGTAATCTGCACTAGGAGGAGAAAACACTAGAAATATTGTGTTTAAATCGGATTGTTTTTCATGAAAGCAGGTGCAGGGAAAATATTGCTTTTACCCAGTAAAAACCAGTTGGGAGTGCCCAAAGTGGTTGAAGATTTTGTATGTAACTAGTCAGAAAGGGATAAAATACAATATAAGAGAATTTAATTTTAAATCCACTGAGAGTGTGCAGTATAAAAATACATTTCAGTCTAAAATAAGCTTGGTACTATAGCTGCTTTAAGTACCTGCATGCTGTTTTTTCTGTTTCTGACAGTGTTAGTAGAGAAACATGTGGGGTAAGGGAATGGATAGATGAATACTGAATATAAAATCCCACTTCCCTGTGGAAATCTCAGTAGGTAAAAGCAGATTGCAGCTGTTGGATGAAATCCATGAATTTAGAAAACAGTCTTGTTGCCACATTGAGAGCCATGCAATTTTGGGGAGAAGAAATTTTGTCAATGCATTCGAATCGGTGTCACAAACCCCTGGGTCTTTACGCACACGCTTTCAATAAGGTAGCACAAAAACCTTCATGTGAAAAAGAGGGGAAACCACGGAATCTGGAGTTTGAGTCTGTTGCAGCAGTTCTTATGTTCAAACCTAACCTAGGTAAAATGTTAAGTGTTTACTAAGTAGAAACTTTGTTTCTTGAAGAAAACACACCCACACACCCACACATGCACACAAAAGAGTCAAAATCCTCCCTTGTCTTTTTATTGTGGCACTGTGCATTGTGCTGAACAGTGTTTTCAATCTCTGGTAGGATATGAAGATCTTAAATCCTCACCCATTAAAACTTCACTCGAGATACTCTGTTTTCTCTACAGCCAGTTGTAAAGAACAAATATCGAGGAGATCTGAGTGACTCAGAGGCTACGTTTTTATAGCTGAAACACTCACTCAGAGATGCACTCCGAGGGCTAATCCCACTCTCCAAGGAGAGAGGTAGGTATTGGCTTTGATGATAGAAATGGATTAAACAGATTACATTAAAGGCCAGTCTAATTGAACCAATCTATCCTGATTCTGCTGCTGTAAGATAAATAATGAGAAGGCCCTGTAGTATATATAGGTCATGTGTTAGTGTGTCTTGTGTGTGTGGACATTTACAGGATTGCTTAAAAATGAAGCGATTTTTTTCCTATAAAAAAACATCCTGTTTTATTGAAGAACAGCATATTTGTTATGTGTTTACAATAAACAAAATCTATTCAGTTCATTCCTGGGATTCTGCTTCTGGATTGTCCAAATTCATTACTGCCAGTGAACATTTAACAATATATAACTATTCCTAGTATTGGCCAGTGTCGCCCCAGTTCATAAGTAGCTGATACATCCCGCAAGTCATTTTAGCTCCAGTATCTA